CTTCATTGTTGACACAACATGGGCTCTCCTATTCTTTGTTTCGCTAGATCACCAACAAGTTTCTGAACTTGCAAGGTTTTACATATAGGCCTAATACATATATGTATAATTGGCCTATGCACTGAGCACAGCAGCAGCAATATTCCACTATAACCGACTAGCATGTTTGTCTGATTGCGCTATAGCAGTATTTTATTTACAAAGGTAAAGAAGAGAAAAAAACAGGGTTTTAGAATAGTGTCTTTATATCAGACTTCTTGTTATTTCCGGACTCGTTATAAGTGAATTCCACTGTTGATGACGTATTTTCTGCAATTTATTTTTGTCGTCTTCTGGGGCTTCCCTCACCAGTTGTCTAGATCTCATTGTGGCGGGCCCGCTTTGTCGATTCGCGTGCGATGGCCTACGTCACTAGGTTTCATCGCCCACTGCTTGGGCTGTGTGTGTGCGTAAGCGTGCGTGCTTGTGAGTGTGTTCAACTTTGAGGAGAAGGTAAATTTATGGAACTAGAATTGCTAAGATTGTAAAAGATAACACTGCAAATCAATACCAAAAAAACCAAAAACATGGCGAGATCTAGTCAAAAGTTACTGGCAAGGGAAACCCCGGAAGACGACAAAAATAGTTGGTGGAAATATGTCATCTTATATTTGGACCAATCACAGAGGTATGCTAGGCGCTCGCTGTAGCCTCATGTGATTCTAAGCTTTGGTAAGGTTCACGCAAAATCAACTGGATTGTACTTTACCGGACCACCCGTCTGGGCCCGTGATTACTACGCACGTCTGGCCTAGCTACGCACTCATAGTCCTCTATAAGAGAGAGGTAGTTCCGCGGGCGACTTCGCGCAGAGCACACCAGCAGCAAGGCGAAGTGAAGGAGAGGTGGTTGTTGAAGGTGGGTAGGGGATGGAGTGGGTAGGGGATTTAACTTTGGTTCACCCACCGTATATATTATAATATCATAATGATCATAACAACAGTGGGGGGGTTGTGTCTGTAGTTGTTGTTGGCCCAAAGTACATAGCATGCAGCGTACGTTCAGAAGAGAAGAGAGAGAGAGAGAGAGAGAGAGAGAGAGAGAGAGAGAGAGAGAGAGAGAGAGAGAGAGAGGGGGGGGGGGGGGGGGGGGGGGTGTTAGGGACCCCCTGGCAACAATAATAAAAATTTTTTTAAAACATACATAAATGCAAAACAATAACATGAGCAGACCATGGCAGGGGTGGACAATTGTGTTTACATGATGTTATAACAACAGTGGGGGGTTTCAGAGAGCCCCCTTGAAACAATAATCTTTTTTAAAAAGTTTGTTGGCTATGTGTATGGCCCTGAAAAGTGTATAGATTTAGATATCGCTCAGCTGGACCAAAGATCGTTCACTCTGCCAAAAAAGAGTCTGCAGGAATCCGCACATTGCTTCAGATGCCGCTGCGGTCTTTTTTTAAAGCTCTCTTTCGTTTCTCCAGAAAAAGAATGGGAATATGATAATAGCACAGTTTATTAGTTTCATTTTTATTGTTTTTCAAACAAATAGGGTAACTCTGTTCGCAAAGTCCACTCTTTTTCGAAGAAAGGAGTGAACTATATTGTTATGATTGATCTTTGGCTGGACCGCGTCACTTTATCGTTCAATATCTTGGCCAAGTGACGCTCTACGAGGTCAAGATAAGATAACTTGCAAAGTCATTAGTCACTATTTATAACTTTGACCTGCAATGTACTATGTCATTTTCCATATATGAGCTTTTGCCAAAAGGTGGGGGGTGTTTGCTAAAGGACTTTTTAAATCAACCACTACTCATGGTAAAATATGTTTTCTTCTGAAAACTTTATGTATATGGCAAGGAAATAAGTTGGTCACGCTGCATGAGCAAGTAGATTGATGTGTGCATCTTATATCTCTACATAGAAAGATAATAGTACTAAAAATAGGGCATTTTTTACTCATCCTGAGTGCACACGTAATTGTATGTTAAATACAGAATATTGTTAATCTTAAACTATCAAACAGAAGTGCATTCAAACATTGAAAATAGTTTGTATACACCATCATGACAGCGTGTGTCCATTAAAAGGGTTTTATTATTTTATATTAATGATGTTATTGCTGAGTAAAATTTATAAGTTCGTTCATAACTCGTGTCATAATTACATCATCAGACTTTCCAAGGTCTAGAAAACCCAAATCGTTAAACATATCATTCCGGGGAATGACCGGTATTAAACATTGGTTTGACATTGATCCATCAGAAGGGTAATTTTCCGCTCCATCGCATGGTTTTGCTTAAATATGACTTTGATTGAGATAATCCAGGTTTGTCATAATGATGTTATGAACAAACACTTTTTAATATTTCTGCAAAATATCATGTGAGGGACTTCCCACTGTTTCACAACATCCTTTTACATGGTGGAATGAACATGGAAGAGTATCGTGCTGATGACTCAAAAGAGAAGCGAAGAAGAGGCAAAAATATGCTTGTCATAATGGATTGTCATCATGTTATGAACGTGACAGTGTGTCATAATGGTTATGAACGAAACCTTATTCCATGTAATTTACAGTTGTTTTGGGATGTATTTTTAATTTTAACCCAACTTGAGGATGTATTAGACCTTGCTTACATTCTGATATTTTGATTTTTATCATAAGTGTATGGGTCTGGATTTTAATTAGTATTTTACTTTTGTAGTAATGGTTATGAACGAACTACATATTGTACTCTGAGGGCTTTCCAGAGTTGATAAACATTAAAAACATGTACACAGATACATATTATTAGGAAACTTTCATTTAATATAACATTTTTAAGTAAATGACAGGTCAAAATATTAATTTTTAGGTCAAAACTGAAGTTTGTCATAATAGTTATGAACTAACAATTAAAGGTATTCTAAGGGTTTTTCAGTGATTAAACTTTGAATTCTTCCCACATATAACCTTATTTTGAGGAGAGTCTCATAAATTAAAACAATTTTATGTGAATGACAGAACAATAAGTTAATTTTTTGGGCCCAAAGTAAAATTTGTCATAATAGTTATGAACGAAACAGTGTGTCATAACGGTTATGAACGCAACATTATTCCATGTAATTTACAGTTGTTTTGGGATGTATTTTTAATTTTAACCCAACTAAAGGACAGAATAGACCTTACATACATTCTGATATTTTTATTTTTATCATAAGTGTATGGGTGTGGATTTTAATTAGTATTATACTTTTGTAGTAATGGTTATGAACTAACTATTTATAGTCCACTTTATATATTTTGAGGGCTTTTCAGTGTTAACAAACTTTAAAAACATGTACAGAGATACATATTATGAGGAGAGTTTCATTTAATAAAAGTTTTAAAAAATGAATGACAGCTCAAAATGAGTACATTTTTAGGTCAAAATTGAAGTTTGTCATAATTGTTATGAACGAACCATTTTAAAGGTATTCTAAGGGTTTTTCAGGAAATAAACTTTGAATTCTCCCTACATAGAGGAATCTATAATATTTTAAGGAAAGCCTCATAAATGAAAACCGTTTTATGTGAAAGACAGAACAATATAAGTAAATTTCAGGGGCCAAAAGTAAAATTTGTCATAATAGTTATGAACGAAACCGTGTGTCATAATGGTTATGAACGAACTTTAAATTTATGCATAATATGCCCTAAGACCAGTTTGCGTTTAAAAATAGCTGTTCAATGGTCTTCCATTTATCACTTGACTATAATTAGACCAGTGTTATTTTAGGCAATTCTAGTCAATGAAACTTGATATAATCGATAGTATTTTGGTCACTTATTGTTCGTTCATAACTATTATGACACAAAAAAGTAATTTTATCAAAAATTAATAAAGATTTTTATAAATTGTCAATTTTATGTATTTTTGGAAGTTATTTGCTATGTCTCAAAATATAACATCAGCCTAGCTGAAGAAATGAACTTTGAGTATTCATAAATTTGTGTCATCATTGTTATGAACGAACTTTTTGCTATTTCCGTCATTCAAGTCAGAATTACACCAAGACCATTGCATATACAGCTTTGGCAGTTACTGAGTCTGAAAGAGCAATCATTAGGCCATATAATATGGGTGATTAAAGAATTATTACATAAAGTTGATTTTGGACCTCATTTGTCACACCCTGGTATCCCACCTTTTGGCAAATGCTCATATATAAGGAATAGAAATTGCCATTGAAACAGGACAACGTCATACCCTTTAATTTTAATATAGGGTCTGTGTTCTTCCCGGTTGAAGTAGGTCAGCCCTATAAAGGGCCTGTGCGCCTCACACCATTTATATATAGAGGGCCTGCACGCTTCCAGGATTAAGTTAGTCCACTTGTAGTGAAGTGTGCGGTTTGATAGAAGTTTATAATTTCATAATGTGCCACCTAGCTTAAATGTGAAGTGGAGGGCAATACAATAGCCTTGATGCCATGCGTACGGGAGAGCCGTACGCATAGCCATGAGGCTATAACGTACGGGAGCCATACGCATAGCGCCGTACGCATAGCCACTTCGTAAAAAAACAAAACAAACATACATACGCATAAATGCAAAACAATAACATGGAGGTAAGTGGACCATGGCGCTAAGTGGACAATCGGGGTAATTAGAGTTGGAACAGGCGGAGCCTCGCTTCGCAGCACTCACGGGATTGCAATTATATATGCAAATGAGCTCTCGTGCGCATCTCTCGCCCTCCATTGTACTTGGCTGGACCAGGATGGGAGTGGGGGGGAGGCCTAGCAGAGTTGCAAGCAAAGAAGAATAGTGGACCACTGGATCAAAGGGCACTGTGGCACGGTCGTGATGACTGAAAAACCCAGTAAGAGACATTAGTCGGTAGTTGGCAGTCGAAGGGTGAGGACGTAGCCTGAAAGTGTGTAGTGTAGGAGAGTGAGTAGGGGACCTCTGAAAGGAAGAATAGCGGACCACTGGGCGGGAACCAGGGGCGCCATGGAGAAAGCAGTTCCGACAGGCGGTTACCAGTGGTCCGGTAAAGTACAGTCTTACCCAACGATCAACTGTTGAAAACTTACCCCTTCTGTATTTTTCACGAAGTAGCTTCCACTTGAACCCTGGAAAATTCTTTCAGGAAAGACACCTTCTTCAATGGCAAGTTCGGCTGCTAAAACTATTTCATTGAACTGAGGGTCTTCTGGAAATGAATTCCAAGTGTCTGATGATTCAAAATCACTCTTTGGGCCCAAGAGAGGAGAATTTTCTTTAATACCATGACCACTCCCTCTCGTTGGGGACCTTGGGGGTCTGCCCTGATGTTCCCTGTCTGACCTACTACTACTACTGTGGTTACTATAATTATTTGGCTGAGGAGCAAATGTCACATGAACGTCTGAACCCTGTTGGTAGCTGTCACTCAGAGAATGTGATGAAGATTCAAGTAGAGGTGGCCGGGTGCCGTTGCTGCCTGCTACTATAGGAGCAGGAGTTATCAAATCAGTCGACGCTGAAGTGGTAATCTCACTGACACTGCCAGCAGTAGCAGTCCGTGTATTGGTTTGTTGTAGTAAGTCGTCGTCATCGTCAAAACTCAAAAGATTTTGAGATCGACTGCCTTGCCCATCTCCAGAACTCATGTCCATCATATTGAAAAGAGAACACAGTCATTCACAAACACACACAAGATAAATTCATGCGATTCTCCAGTTTAACTGATCATGAGGAGGTTACTCATGTTGACAATGTTGTTGGTGTTTGGTTGGCTCTCGTTTCACTTCCCCATTACCATCATCATCGGTCACGAGAACCACAGGTCACATCCGGTTATCCCTTTGCCCCAAATAGAAATGATACCAGGCCTAACGCAAATTGGATTTGGGTATGCGCAGAATGCACCAAATAAACCTCTTTGCACCAAAGTAGGCCTATAATAAATCATCATGATCTTATCCATCTTTATTCGTTTAGCGTTGTAGCGGACATGCACACCATAGTACTTTTATTCACCTTTTAGAAAAATATACCTATTTATGCTAGTCCCGTGCTATTATAAGCGAACAAAAGCGTCTGCTACATTTACAGTTTAAGGACAATTAGACTGGATTGTCAGGAGATTTATAGGCCCAAGGCCTAAGGTGAACTCTGAAAATTAATACCCGCACTGTTATTTATCATAAGAGGCTAAGGTAGGGTACACAGAGAGTTGTCAGGCACAATACGTTTAACAGCATACATGCATGTCTTGCATTGTCACAAATGTAGCCTACATGCGCGCGCGCTCACACACACAAACATAATCACACACACACACACACACACACACACACGCACGCACGCGCGCGCGCGCGCACGCACGCACACACATATTATATTATGATTTTAAATGATATACGCACACACACACGCACACATGGAAGGGCGGGGGAGGGGGGGGGGGGGTTCTAAAATTAACTCGCCTTCACTTCCTGTAGTGCAGCTAGTGTTCAGTGTGTGTCAAATGTATACAAGATGGCGGACAGGAAAAAACTGTCCAGCCGAAACGACAGAGGCAGAGGACATACAGTTTACACACTCAAATCAGTCTTTGTTTTAGGGCATGCCGAGTTGATAACATTTTTGCTTTTTTCTTTGATTTTATTGTTTTATACAGCGGAATGTTTGAAAGGCTGTAATGGTTGTGATCAAGGGCGATGTATCAATGATACTTGCGTTTGTTTACCTGGTTGGCGAGGATTGTTATGTGACGAATGTTACGGAAGAATAAGGTAATTAGAATCTAGATGTAGAACTAACGCTCCTTTAGATCTACTTTGTCCGATAAGAATTTGCTTGATTGACAGATTCCAAGGTATATTTATTCTTTGGGAAGATTGAAGAATACCGGACCACTCGTACATTATTGCGCGAGAAAGTGGGGTAGGTGGGACGGGTGGTTGGGGTGGAGGAGGGGGGGTTCAGGGGGGTCTCCCCCCTGACAAAATTTTAATGAATAGATCTACCGGTCCGAGATTCTCCATTGAGAGATATTAAAAATGGGAAAATTATGAATTCCTAAGGTTGAGACACAGTCACAGGCAAAGTCAGTCCGCTGGTCCGGTATTCTTCAATATTACCTTTCTTTAATCAGGGTGACCGCCAGGCCCCGGGGGTGATTTTGTAGAGTTTCGTTCGTTAAGGAAGTGGCTATTCTCACCCTGAGTGAGAATAAAAATACGATCTACCTCCCACCCCGGGTGAGACTTGCCAGAGTAGGTAGGCTATTCTCACCCGGTGTGAAACAAAACATGTTTTTCCTCATTTTGGAATACTATCGGTGTGGATGATCAAATTGATTTTAAAAAAGCCAAGAAAAAATTACGTGATAGCACAAAAGTAAGCAAATTTGATCGTCTTCAAAGATGCTATGGCTATTTCACTTTTCGAATCGAGCCGAACTACGCGGGTCGCCATTTTGTTTTGCCCGGAAGTTCTCGCAAGATCTACTCCTCCCCTCTCTCTCTCTCTCTGTCTCTTTCTGAATACTGTCTATCGGTGTGGACGATCAAATTGACCAAAACAAAGTCTAAAAATGATGTTAAAAAACAATTATTAAATTAATTTGGTTCGTCTACAAAGATGCTTCGGCTATTTAACTTTCTGAATCGAGTCGAACTACGCGGGTCGCCATTTTGTTTTGCCCGGAAGTTCTCGCGCTACTCTCTCTCTCTCTTTCTCTCTCTCCACTGCCCACAGACAAAATTGCACACTTTTAGGCTTAGCACTAACAGTAGTAATAGATCTATATCTAGAACGTTTGTTCACAGCACAGAATTCTATAATTCTGTTATCACAGTGTAGAATTATGTGGTTCAGGGTGAATGCTTCACTGGTTGGCCTAGGCTATAACGGTGAACGCCCACCGGGTGAAAATAGCCAAAAGACTCGCCTGCGCTATTCTCACCCGGGGTGAGAATAGAGTGGCCTTCGTTAAAGTTAAAGGCCATCTTTTTGGCTATTCTCACCCGGTGTGCGTTCACTTTGATAGCCTAGGCTAGGCCAAGCAGTGTAACGTTCACCGTGGAGTACAGAATTCTACACTAACAGAAATGTAAAATTCTGTGCCGTGAACAAACGTTCCAGCGCTCTTAGTCTGGTGTGTTGAAAGCGTGCAATTTTGTTTGTGGGCAGTGAGAGAGAGAGAAGTAGCGCAAGTACTTCTGGGAAAAACAAAATGGCGACCAACATAGTTCAGCTCGATTCGAAAAGTCAAATAGCCGTAGCATCTTTGTAGAGACGACAAAATTTACTTTTGTGTTTTTAACATCATTTTTTTATCTTTGTTTTTGTAAATTTTATCGTCCACACCGATAGACAATATTCAGAAAGAGACAGAGAGAGGAGGAATAGATCTTGTGAGAACTTCCGGGCAAAACAAAATGGCGACCCGCGTAGTTCGGCTCAAAGTGAAATAGCCATGCATCTTTGTAGACGATCAAATTAGCCTATTTTTTGTGCTGTAGGTCATTTTTTCTTTGCTTTTGTCAATTTTATCATCCACACCTATAGACAGTATGCCGAAATTTGGAAAAACAGGTCTTGTTTCTCACCGGGTGAGAATAGCCAACGCTGGCAAGTCTGACCCTGGGTGAGAGGTAGATTGTATTTTTGTTCTCACCTCGGATGATGATATCCACTTCCTTCGTTAAAGTCGGAAGCTGAACGCCAGAGACCCTGAATTTGCATGGTAATTGTTGAGGAGTGAACTAAGCCTGAGACTGCCCAGAAGGAAACACTAAACTAAAGCCAGAGAAAATAAAAATTCAATCAAAGAATGGCACTTTGTGTTGCCTAAATTTGGTCATCAAGACTTCCGGATTTCTTCTCTGGATGTAAACAAATGGATCGTGGACGAACGAAAGAAGATCACCGCCCCACGAAGTACCCACGAATTTGAAAAACAAAGTTACTAGCCATACTTGAGTGTCTTAAGTTCGGCTAGCCTGAGAGTCTAGCCGGCTAGACTTACTTAGATCTAGGTTTGGCCCTATTGACCGAAACGTGTACAGGTTTGCATAGATATAGTAATTATTCAGATTTAAAATGGCCACCCCCCGGGTGAGAATAGCACAGACGAGCCTTTTGGCTATTATCACCCGGTGTGCCTTCACCATGATAGGCCAACCAGTGTAGCGTTCACCGTAAACAAACGTTCCAGCGCTCTTGTGCTGAGAGCATGCAATTTTCAATTTTGTTCCTTGGGCAGTGAGAGAAAGGGAGAAGGGGGGGGGGGGGAGACATACAGAGAGGAGTAGAGGAAGAACTTCCGGCCAAAACAAATGGTAAAATACTTTAGGTATTGCAAACTAAATTTAATTTAAAGTTCAGCCTTCATTATTAAGTACAGCTAGCCTGACAGTCGTCGTTATGTACGGCTAGTCTAGCCGAACTAGCCAGTCTAGCCGTACTTATTGTAGGCTCTAAGAAACCTGTTGAGTACACAGGTCTCATTAGTAATTATTCAGGTTTAAAATACATGCCCTGTCAGTAAGGCACCTGGTTTTGTCTCAAATACAATACTTTTATTGCAAACTAAAAATTTATTTACAATTCAGTGAGCGTATTTTTTTCTGTTTGTCAGTCTAGCCATCATATAAGTACGGCTAGCCCAGCTGTCTAGCCGTCATTAGTACGGCTAGCGTCTCCTTTGAAAAAAATCGCATAGACCCGGGGGCACTCTTCGGGAGAAACAATTGAAAAAAAAAAAATGAAGTCAAGTAAAAAAGCTGGCTGAGTTGCCAGAGTGAAAAGGCCATCGGTAAATTTATAGAACTAAGGAAGTGGCTAGCCATTGTACGGCTAGCCTGCCAGTCTAACTGTAGTTAGGTTAGGCCCTGTTGATCAAAACCTGTTGAGTACACTGGTCTCTTAAGGTGTAGTCATTATTCAAGTTTTAAAATTACATGTGGGCCATTTTGTCTAATTTAAAAGCAAGCATAGAATCATCCCTTGCCTAACAGGCAGCCATGTGCAGTTTTTGAAGTTGTAGGTACTCTTTAAATCATAAATAGTAGCTTCAGTTTTGGGTAGGGATTCATTTTTAAAATTTTGCCCATGCAGCAATTTTAGAACCACCAAGGGGTCTTTAATGTGTGAGACTTCCAAGTGGGACTTAATAATATAATAATTTTTTCTTCCTTTTATCTGAGAATACTAGAGATATACTACTTACCCTAGGGTCAGGGGATGTGTAGATAACACATTTGAGAAAAATTAAACCACAGCTGGCGGGGATCAAACTCCAGACTTTCAGGTTGACAGGCGAACATGATACCTCACAGCCGAACATGATAGGTCTGTTGAGCTACTGTGCCCCTAATTTGGAAAGTTCAAGACCTTTTTTCTTTCTTTTAGTAAAACTTTTGACTGCAATTTCCCTTTTTCTGATGCTGAAGTTTAAGACTCCCAGATCTTGATCTGGTCAACATGAGCTATTGAGGATATTGTTACTTGTAAATCCCTTCCTTCTGCGTTCAGCCTTTGATCAGTTGTGGAGTATAGATGTACCAATTTAAGCTGTCTCATCCTACCATCACACACTGGGTCAGTATTTTCCACTCTTCTCAGAAATGTGCAGTACTATACTCTTTCCCTGTTCATCAAGATCATAGCCCTAGGTATTCTGTGGCATTCCTTTTTTGCTTTCCCCTGTGGGTTAAATTGAGGCTTGTCTTATGGCACTTTTACTAGATCATGCAGGCTTGCGGAGCTAAATGAAGACCAATCCATCTTCATTGCCTTACTTTGGACTGAGTTTTGGTTTTTATATTTTTGTTGTTTAGATAATATTGTTGATTAGAATTTGAGTAAAAATATATAATTAAGTATTTTTTATCCCAAGTTTGTAGACAGGTTCTGCTTTTTTTTCAATGGGCTTGAATTTAAATGAGATTTTATTCCCTCAGTTTGCAGAAAGGGCGTGAAGGTGTCATTCATGATGGAGCAGCAAATTACTCAAAAGACCTCAGTTGCAGCTGGCTGTTAGAGGCTGATGCTCCCAACATGCGTGTCCACCTTCAGATAAATGATTTTGCTACTGAATGTGTTTGGGATCATCTTTACATTCACAACGGGGATTCTGCATTTTCACCCTTAATTGCTGCTTACAGGTATAAAAATCTGTCTATTTTTTGTTTGCTTTTTGCTCATTACTTTTACATTCTACTTTTATTTCTAGGTGAAGTTATTTCTAGTCAAATGCTTGGACGACGTGAAGATTGATGCGGAATTTAAAGTTTTGCAATCATTTTACTTTAAACTCGAGTGTTGTAGCCAAAACCAGGATTTGGAAAATGTTTTTGAAGGTAAAAGATTTTCTGAAAACATCAATGCTTATCTGGGTTGATGGCCAATTTTAAACGTGCATTTCTCTTTCAGAGTCATTTTTGGGGGAAATGCTTGAAAATGTAAGCTGTTCGTTGATGTGCTGGGACTGTTTTATTAAAATGTTCCAGTGTAAAATGTACTTCCCCTTTGAGATAAATAAGATCTTTCTTTTTCTAATGTAAGAATATATTTCAAGATGTGTTGTAACATTTTAGTCTTTTTTATACAGCTTATTTTTTAAATTTATTTTTTTCAGTGGCATATTGTGGGGTCTCAGAAGTAAACCTCACCTGAAGTTCCAGCTCAAGGGGAAATATGCATTTATACATTTCTACAGTGATGCTGCCTTCACCTTGCCAGGTTTCAATATTTCTTATGTGTAAGTATCTACTTCATAATTTTTTTGGTGTGGTTGTTACGTGTTTTGCCTTCAAAGACAGAAGACATGAGTTTATTTCTCATGTAGGGGGGTTTTTGTTTTTTTATCAAGTATCAAGTATCCATCTCAGTAGAGGCCGGCCCTGATAAAATCGAAACAGTTCGCCTCCTGCTGAGGGATCTAAATTGTGTAAATATGTTGATGGGGATGTAAAACGTTAACAATTTTGAAAAAAATAATAAAATTCTTTTGTCCTTTGTTTTAAGCAGTCTTGGACTTTTTTTTCCTGTGTGACTACAGTTTTCCCAAGTCTGTTGAGTGATTGGAATAGTGGAATAAAACTATTGTGTTTGCACTTTTGTCAGTTGTTATGAATTTTCAATTGGAGACTTTTTGATTTCAGAATTGACGACTGTGCCTTGGAATGCTCAGAAAATGGAGTCTGCAACAACAGTGTGTGTCAGTGTCAGCCTGGATTCACAGGACAGAACTGTGACTCTGTAATTGATCATTGTGCTTTCAACTGCTCAGATTATGGCGTTTGTGACAATGGTGCTTGTGACTGTTTCGACGAATACCAGGGTTAGTGTGTATGCATGAATTGTAAAGGGCATTGTTGGACATCCGGTGCCATTTGATCTCTGGTGCTACACTGTTTCATAAAAATGTGTCCTTGGTTTGAAGATGGTTATTATTTTAACATTGTCAGAAAACACTCTATTTCTTGGTATTTTATTGCATTTTCAATTGTACTGTAGTGTGCGACTTTTCATCTGATATAGCTGATAGAGTTGTTTCATTCAGCATGCATGTATATATAAAAACAGCGCTTAGACTTTCTGTATTGGTTTTCTAAGAGACTGCTTCATGAGAACATTCATCTTATCTTGGTAGTCGTAAGATTCACAGACCTTTATTTTTTAAATCTAGGCTCTCAGTGGCTGAGTTGACCGTGACAAACAGGTTGTTATATAAGTATTTTCCCCACTGTAGTGACATGTTACTTTCTCTACAGGCCCTTACTGCAGTATTTCCAAACGAGACCTATATGTGAACACCATGCCACTGCCTCCTCGTGCCTTGTCAAGAAGAGCTTCCTTGTCCTTATTGGCTGATGGCGATGGAGATCTTTGGATACTAGGAGGCTACAAGATGGGTGACATGAGACCAGATAACAACATGTTCAAGTATGTTTAAATCAATTATGTTCCAGACACTTTAAAGTGAATCTGTTACAGCAATTTTTTTGCCAACCAAAATGTTTAACTTGTGTCTGCATTGGTCAAATATTTTTGGTTGTCTGCAGGAAAATTAACTTTTCAGCTAAAAAGCAATCTCAGGTTTTCAGAAAGGCATGGGGCAATGACAGTCACCATCTGTAAATTTGTGTAGACTTAACTCTTTCTGGGCGTAGTTTTTTGACATAATTAACTTGTGGCTCGATATGGCTATGAAGATGGTGTACAAAATAACTTCATAAAAGCATTACCATCACTCAAAGCGTAATATATGATATATCAAATCGAAGAAAATATGAATGAGGAATACATCCCAATATAGAACAAGGATTAAGTTTGAACATAACTATGCCTTAGAAGGGTTAGAAATGGCGATGGTGATGAGAAAAATAAATTTTGATGAAAACAATTACATTCACCAAACATGTGAAAGCAAATCAGCATAGCTATCTTATCATACTCAGGCCAAGAGCATAATCCATAAGTTTCTGAATGTGCAGCTTTTTATTTGAAAGCAATATTCCAAATTTTGTTTGACTTGTGATATTTATACTGAGGCCGATTACATCGTTTTGTTGATGCAAGACCGGAAGAACTAATTCACTCGTTTTTCCCTAAACCCAGGCTTTGGCAAAGTGAAACTAGATGTTTTCGTTCCGAATTTTTCAATACCTATAACGAGTTATTATACATGAAGGATCGTGTTAAAATGCAGCTATACTGAGGCACCCTATCACAACCGATATATCTCGGCGATACGTCCGGAAAGAGTTAACGCTTGAGCTCATTCTGGCATGCTCAGTCCAGGCTATCTTAGATTCCTATGTTTGCTGTTTGCAATGCTGTTTTAATTTGGCCTTTGTTTTGGTTGTCAACTTTGTTTAATCTGGCTCATTGTTTTTGCTTACATTTTCCTTGTTACAAGTACATTGTTGTGTTGAATTTAAGGTATTTTAAAGACAGTCTAATGGTAAACTAAGCCCACTAGCAATCAATTGTTATCACTAGAGCTCACATTATTACGTTTACTAAATCTTTCAACAGTGTGAGTAATGCTTCTTTACCAATGTCATTATGTCTGATCAATTGATTTTTCAGTGAAAGTCAGTATCGTAGACAAATTTGAATGGACACAGCTGAAGGAGAAAGATAGTACTGGCAGCCTTATGCCTGAACGCATTCTGAAATTTGTTAGCCAAGTATGATTTATTGTTGACTCAGATATAGCAAGATTGTCCCATGATCATCCATATCAGTGGATGTTCCGATAAGAAAAGAGAGTTGCTGTTGAAACTCAATCTCTGTGGGCAGTGTTGAAGTAATCTTTTTCCATAAATATTTAATGGGTTGTTTTTTTTAAAGTTTTATGCAACTAGAAATACTCTTTATGGCTAAATTTGTAACCTGTGTTTAAAAAACGAAACTACTTTTCCATTCACTATTTTCAGAGCCCACTCACAAGTCTATTAAAGAGAAATTGGACAGCTTAAACAGACAAGTGCTGTATGCACTCGAACTTTATTTCTCTGTTGGCTGTGTCATTATTGTATTTTACACTAAGTGTGTCCTTGTTTGGTGATTTTTCTGTTTCTTTCATTAAATACTGGAAGAGGAGGAAAGCTTTTATTTTGAAGATTTGTTATACTCTTTTCATGTTTTATGTAAATGGAAATTCTTTGTACTATATTCAGGTACATTCCACGGAATAAAACCTGGGAACAACCAACAGAAATTGGAATGTCGCCATTGTCTAGATATGGACACTCTGCTGTTTACTACAAAGTAAGTGGAAACTTTGATCCATTTGACTTCAGATCTTACCTTAAGTCAGGGTTTAAGGTTTTTGTATTTTTAAATATAAAAAAAAAAATTATTAGTTAGCTTGTTTGGTGTTGTGGGTTTTTAACATTTTTTTGAACAGGGTACGTTCAGGTCTTTTTGTTTCTGGAAATATGGGAGGTAAGGTGATACCTTATAAATGACTGAAATTGAAGTGAAAAAAATGTGAAATTATGTCTTTTTAAAACACTTATTTTCTACAGAATGCATTTTTCATATATGGAGGTGTGAGCAATACTCGAGTGCTGAAGGACTTTTGGAAGTACGACATTGTAGGAAAGTCATGGAGCGAATTCTCACCTGGTCCTCGCAACATCTCGGGCCACACAGCACATGTTTATGAAGACACAATGATTGTGTTTTTTGGCTACAGCAGTGATTTCGGCTACTCCAGTAAAGTCATGGAGTATAATTTTAGTAAGTTTTTTTTCTTTCCTGTAGCCACCGATATAATCAGATGCTTGGACTAAGTTTAAGTACTTATTACTAATTTGCTGCCTTTTAAGATAGATGTCAGTGTAAGAAAAATGAAGGAAAGATGTAAATGTTGGGCTGAATGTATACTAGACTTCTATTACTTTGAAGTACTGGCTAATATCAGTGCTTGCAACTTGTACCTTTAATGAAAGTAAACTTTAGTTCGTAGATAAGGCTTTTTAAGAGACTTAAGAGATATATCCTGATATGTCTATTGAATTTTTTTTTTGTATATAAAAGGGAATGTAGAAAGAGGGAGGAAGGAAAGTGATGGTGTTAAATGTAGGCGAGACTTGTTTTTTCTGATAAAATTATCACCAATTTCTCTTTCAGCCTCTGGAAATTGGACTGTAGATGAAACGACTGGCAGTCGCGTCCAGGGTGGATACGGTCATACCAGCGTGTTTGACCACAGGCGAATAAAGATTTATGTGTATGGAGGGTATCACTCTCAGGGAACCTCCAACTACAAGCTGACTGATAAATTATATCAGTATGACCCAGTACTGAAAGAATGGTATGAAACCTTTTGGTTGTCTTTTACTGATATTATTTCACCAATCTGAAAAAGAATGATTTTGTCAAGTACTCTTGCGAAATAAGTAGTCTTATGTTTCCTTGTTAGAACTCTCATCAGATTAAAAAGGTTACTGCATGAAATTTTGATCTTCATGACATTCTATGAAAGTGCTATGTTGTGTAGTTTGCTAACACAAGTAGTTCCTCAGAATTTGGCAGAGAAGTTTAAAAACCATTTGGTGAAGGGATATGTTTGGAAATTATTTTTTTTAAATGTGACATTTTCTCACTAACTACTGATCTCTTACATAGTTTATTCTAAAGTATTCTCAGCAGCTCAGTATTGTAACCTGAAGTAAGAATTGCTTCTTCTTTCAGTGTCCTCATTTCAAATTGCATATTTTATAAGAAAGTTTGAGGCCTATGATAGTTGTAAAGTACCAGAATGATTCATCGCAAGTCTAGGTTTTGTCTGGAGAACTAGACTGCTCTCATCATTTAGTAGCACAGTTGCATGGGATTGAACTTCCTTAATAATTCTACTGGCATGGTTTATAAACAGTGTCAATGTGGAATCATCTTGGATTTTTTCCCCCCAGGTTTGTACTACGTAGCAGTGGTTCTGCTCGCTACTTACATTCTGCGGCCATGATGAATGGATTGATGATAACATTTGGAGGCAACATCAACAATGATACAAGGCTGGGCCCACAAGCTAAATGTTTTGCCTCAGACTTCATGGTTTATGACAGAGGTAAATGTTGGTACAAGAGGAAAAGAATTACTAGATGAAAATCTGCTGTGTCGAGGCAGTAAATTCATATTTAGTAGGAATTCGGTGGTCCGATGCTATAGCAATTTGTGAAAATGTTCCTTTTCCTGTTCCTTTGAATTTTGACTATATGAATCGGATGGAATTATTTTGAGATATTTGTGTAGTGTTTTTGAATAGTCAGCTATCAATGTCAGACATTAATAATAATGACAATAATAATAATAATAGATAGCATTTGCATTGCTCGAATTCCAACTCAACAGCAAGCTTTAGGTGCTTTACAATCTATATTATTACCCCAGTAGGCCTGATAGCATTCTAAAACAATCTGAACTTCCTTGGAAGCATTCAATGCCAGCTGCCGTTATGCAGACACTAAAACACTACCATACTGACAAGATCTCTTGCTGTCTAAGGCTGGATACCCATTCACACCTGGGTGAAGTAAGGAAAGTTAGTGTTAAGTTCCTTTCCCAGGGTTAAAACATCAGGCCTGAGGCTTGAATCCCAAACCCGCAACCTCACAAATACGATTCTGGTAGCCTATCAACTAGACTACTGATGTGATGTTAGGGGCCAACCGTTCAGCTGACAAATGGTTGTTATATTATTTTTCCTTTTTTTCAGATTGCAATAGTTGGTTTACTCTTCCAACCCCGGAAATAGTTGGGGACTCAGAAGGTATTGACCGTTTTGGACAAGCAATGGTCAGCGTCAACAAGTAAGTAATTTGTAACTGCTGTTTTATGTGTTTCTTTTCTTTAGGATTCTCCATTCTGCTCCACAGCTTACTTCATCTCAAGTTTTGAGTTTTGGGGTTTTAAAATATTTCCTTGGCCTTTTTTATTTAAGTGAATAAAACAGTGGTTTTCTTCTTGTTTATTCTTGGTTATTTTTGCTAAAATCTTCACTTGATAGTTTAAGATATACATTATGACAGGCAGAAGTATGAGGGGGTGGAGGGGTGGTTTTGTTATGTGTTCATTGACTTTTTATATCAGCTGTGTTCGTTCAAAGTATGACTCTTGTTTTCATTTTAATTTTTACTATAAAAGTGATTGAGTGATTATTTTCATTATTCGGTGCTCTGTTGTCGGTGTGAGTTATGTCTTTCTCGGACTCCTAAAAACTGTTGTATAATGGGTGAATTAGTGAATGACAGTGAAGTATTGCTTTGCGTTCTATAATGAAGCAGATTTATCGTGGGGAAAATGGGTTACTAAGTATTCGCTGTGGTTTTATGTATGTATCTCTCAATATTCTATGTTAAATTTTGTTTGTTTCATATTTCAGCGTGATATACATGTTTGGTGGTTTCAACTCTATTGCAAAGTATGACTTGCTAGAAATAAGAGCTGGTAAGTACAGTTTTTCTTTGATTTTTGTGTACTCCAGAAGCTGTTCAAGTACTATCAAGAATGTGACAGTTATGATTATGTTGTAGGTATAAAGCTGTTACACTACACATGATTATTTCTGTAAGCTTTTAATTGAATGATTTAAATTGAATTCATTTTAGTCCTTTCTCATGTTTTTAATTATATACCTCTTTGGGTTTTAACATTTAATGAAGCAACTTTTAAAACTGTTTCTCTCTGCCTGTTACATTTCATGTGCCTTTTTAGGTCTGAAAAATCATGTGGTTATTTAAAAATTTGTAAAATGTTCAATGTTTTCATTATTTGTTATATCTAAAAAAAAAAAAATTAATTATGTCGTTGTGGTTTGTTTCAGGAAACTGCTCTTTCTATGAAAATGAGAACTCCTGCTCCCAAGCTCGACCAGGAGTGAAGTGCTTGTGGGAGGGATCACAGTGCAGAATGGATGATGTGATTGGGGATGAAACACATGACAACTGCCCAAATTCACAAGGTTAGAAAAAGTTGATGCATTTGTATCTTTTACAGTTTAGCTGTAGTAATCTAGCATGGTATTGTGACAGAATTTGTTGTTTATTGTTTTAAAAAGAATAATTTCAGGGGTGGGGGGGTGTTTGTTGTAAAATTTCATTTTCCTGTTGTACTTTTCATGCTTTGCTACAGTTTGAAGGAAAGAACAGGTTGAAAGCTTTTGATATTTTGAAAGGCAGATAAAGTTTAAAACAGAATTTTCATTTTGAGCTCTTCGTGCGGAAGGGTTTTGTTATGTTCGGTTATGCTTTTCTACAGTAGTTTCAGCTGTTCATAATCTTCCTCACGTCTCTCAATTTCTGAATACAGCTTTTTGTTATGTCTTCCTATGTTGTGTTTTCATCCTGTTCAAAGAAAACTTTGAGTTGATGGTTTTTGTACAGCAGATGTTTAGAGGAAGGATGTGTTTGTTAACCCTTTCCATGCTGACACATTTCCATTTTTGTTTGCACAGACAAGATGACAAGATAAAATGTTCATTCAAGAGAGATTTTAATATATTTCCCCTCTTTAAGAATATCCAACTGTACAAGTTGTAAATACATCTTTTAGAATGTTTTCTGTAAAGCAGTAGAATAAAATAGCATAGAACAAATTTGGGAGATCACACGTGAGTAAATATGTATGTCTGCACAGCATTGAAGAGGTTGGTATAGAAACACTCTCTAAGTTCAGTTTTTCTTCTTAATCTTTGCCTTATTTTTGCGCACAAAGCAAATATTTAAAGGGAAGAAAATGTGTAGGTTGTAGGGTTTTTTTTATTAGGG